CTTCTTTCACCTGTTCATCTTCCAGTCCCCATCCCCCTCCCCAACAAAGAACTTCCTGGTAAGTGCCATTGCGTTAGAGCCTAGACACTGAAGGTCAGTACCACCCTAATATGGTTTTAAATATAAAGAAATAGCCAAGTTAAAAGTAAAATTTTAAGCCACTGTCAACTACAGATACAGCTAGACACATCACTTGGTGTTCTTTACTTGCTTTCAGTCACTGTATAATATATTACTTTTTCCAGATCAATTTAAGAATACTTCTGTCAGCTTCTTTGGATCTTTACACTCCTGGGTAAAAGTTCCTGAAAAGTCTGAAGTAAGGGCTTCTGTCATCAAAAGACCTGTGCAATAATCCTTCTACCCCTAAGGCAGTCTACTGGGAAGAAACTTTATCTACTGCTATCAAATTAAGTGGAGAAAATGCCCTGTTTGGTCTTTCAATTTCTCATCTCTTAAAGATTCCAACTTTTCTCTCATTTTGGAGCCAAGCAGAAAGGAAGAAATGTTATGAGGTAGAATATAGGTGCTCTTTGCAAAATCCTAATAGTCATTAGTTCAAAGGAACAATTTTCCCTTCTAGCTACATGTTCAGTTTGTTCCAAGCTAGCATTCTCACACCACTCTGACTAGATCTTCCTTTTTTGGTTGGCAAGTTTAAACATGCTTATATGCCATCATGCTTACAGTTACTCATGAAAAAAATACACACTCTAGTTTAATAGCAACACTTACATTCTGTCTAATTACAGAAGCCTGTTTATTAAAGGAACCATTCCCTCTCTCCTCTTTTCTAAATACTCAACAAGATTTCTTGCTATTTTTTCCCTCTCTCTGTCCCTGGCATAGTTCTTGGTACCATAAAGATCTAAACAATGCTGTTCTTTTGACTTACGTTGACCCCACTGTCCACTACTGGGATTCAGATAGTTAGGATAAAGGCCTTGTGGTTTTTCCAGATGGTTCAGGACTGCTCGAATATTCTTTACCTACAAGAGAAATGAAATTCTACTATAAGGATCTAAAGAACAACTTTGGCACCATTCTTCCTTCTGTAATGATTACATTTCTCCATTTTAGAAAAAAAAAAGCGTATATTGCAATAAATGACATAGACTGAGAACAAATACAATCAGTCCTAGCTCACTATTTTACAAAATTAATAACAGAAAGTAAATACAGTCACACTGATTGATTAATTGATAATGTATTAAATTCCAGACACTGTTCTAGGAATAGATCAGTGGATAAACAAAGTCTCTACTGTATAAAAATTTGTATTCTAGTGCGATGACACACATAATAAACAAATATATATGTCAGACAATGACAAATGTTATGGGAAAAAGAAAAAAGAAGGTAGTGGTACAGAGTGCAATGAATGAAAAGGTTGTACTATGTCAGTCTAGGAAGGCTGATGGGATAATGTCTGAACAGAGGTTAAAATGAAGACAGGGAGTAAGCCACACAGAAACATGGAGAAAATACTAGAGCAAGTACAAAATTCCTGAGAAAAGAGTGTGTTATAGCAAATCCACAAAAGGTGGAGGTAAGAAGCAAAGGAGTGAATGTCAAAGAGCAGAAAAGAGAGGTAGCCATGCCCATTTCATGCAGGCCTTATGGGTCATATGTTGTTGTTAAGTGTCTTCAAGTCAGTTCTGACTCACAGCTATCCGGTATAGATTTTCCAAGGATTGGCTGGGGGATTTGAACTGTCGACCTTGTGGTTAACAGGCCAGTGCTTATCCTACAGTGTGACACCAGGACTCTTCAAGGGTCATGCTGTTGTTCTTAAATGCCATCAAGTCAGTACGGAATTATAGCGACCCTATGCACAACAGAAAAAAACACTGCCTGGTTCTGTGCCAACTTCACAATCATTGCTACGTTTGAGGCCACTGAGGCCACCACTGTGCCAATCCATTTCATTCAGTGTCTTCCTCTTTTCCTCCGACCTTCACTTTACCAAACGTGATATCCTTCTCCAGGAACTGGTCTCTCTTGATAATATGTCTGAAATATGAGAGACAAAGTCTGGCCATTCTTGGGTTGTTCTTTTGACAGTTTATGGTACTTTTAATATTTTTCTCCAACACCATAAATCAAATGCATCAATTCTTCTATGATCTCCCTTATTCACTGTCCAACTTTCACATACATATGAGGCTACTGAAAATACCATGGCTTGGGTCAGTTGCACCTTAGTTCTCAAACTGACTTCTTTCCTCTTCAACACTTTAAAGAGGTAGATATGCCTAATGCAATAGGTCCTTTGATTTCTTGACTGCTGCTTCCATGACTGTTGAAGATGATCTGAGCAAAATGAAGTCATTGGAAGCTTTAATCTTTTCTCCATTTATATGGATGTTGTTTATTGGTCCAGTGGTGAGGATTTTTGTTTTCTTTACATTGATGTACAACCCATACTGAAGGCTGTGGTGTTTGATTTCATCAGTAAGTATTTTAAATCCTCTTCACTTTCAGCAAGAAAGGTTGTATCATCTGCATATCTCAGGTTGCTAATGAGTCTTCCTCCAATCCTGATGCTACATTTTTCTTCATATAACCCACCTTCTCATATTATTTGCTCAGCATATAGATTAAATAAATATGGTGAAAGAATACAACCCTGGCACACACCTTTCCTGGTTTTAAACTATTCAATGTTCCCTTGTTCTGCTCAAACAACTGCCTCTTTGTCTAGGTACAGGTTCCTCATGAGCACAGTTAAGGGTTTTGGAATACTCATACTTGACAATGTTGTCCATAGCTTGTCATGATGCACACCATCAAAAGCTTTTGTGTAGTCAATAAAGCACAAGTAAACATCTTTCTGGTATTCTCTGCTTTCAGCCAAAATCTGTTTGATGTCAAATGATATCCCTCATTCCATGTCCTCTTTTGAATTTGGTGTGAACCTCTGTAAGTTCTCTGTCAATGTATATTTGCAGTTGTTTTTGTATATTCTTCAGCAAAATGTTACTTGAATGTATTATTAATGACAAGGTTTGATGATTTCTGCATTCTGTTGGGTTGCTTTCTTTGGAATGGGTTCAAATATGGATCCCTCCCAGTCAGTTGGCCAGGTAATTGTCTTCTAAATTCCTTGGCATGAATTATGATGAATGAGTGCCTCCAGTGCTGAATCAGTTTGTTGAAATTTGTAATTTGTATTCCATCAATTCCTGGAACCTTGATCTTTGCCAATGCCTTCAGTGTACCTTGGACTTCTTCCTTCAGTATCATTGGCTCTTGATCTCTTGAAATGGTTGAACGTTGACAATTTTTCTTTTTGTACAGTGACTCTGTGTATTCCTTCCATTTTCCTTTGCTGCTTTCTGCATCATTCAATATTTTGCCCAAAGAATGCTTCAAAATTTCAAGTTGAGGACTGAATTTTTTCTTCAGTTCCCTCAACTTGAGAAATGCTTGTTTTCTAACTCTAGGTCTTTGCACATTTGTTATAATATTTAGCTTTGTCTTCTGGAGCTGACCTTTGAAATTTGCTATTTAGCTCTCTTACCTCTATTTGTTCTAGCATCTCTATGCTGGAGAGCAAGTTTCAGAATCTCTTCTGACATCCATTTTGGTCTTTTCCTTCTTTCTTTTCTTCTTAATGTCCTTTTGATTTCTTCATGTATGATGTTCTTGATATCATCTTACAAATCTTCTGGTCTTCAGTCTTTAGTGTCTAATGCAGCAAATCTGTTTTCCAGATGATCTCTAAATTGAGGTGGGATATGTTTAAAGCTCGTATTTTGACTCTTGTGGACTTGTTTTAATTTTCTACAACTTCCGCCAGAACTTACATGTGAGCATTTGGTGTCTTTCCACAGTCTGTCTTGTTTCCACAGTCTGGCCTTGTTCCTGCTGAAGATATGATCCCTTTCCATTGTCTCATCCCACATATGTGGTCAATTTGATTTCTGTGTATTCCATCTGGTGAGATCCATGTGTATAGTTGTCTAAAAAAATCTATTATTTGCAATAAACCAGCCATTGGTCTTGTAAACGTCTACCATGTGATCTCCTGCATCATTTCAGTCACTAAGGCCATATTTTCCAACTACTGATCCTTTGTTTCCAACCTTTGTATTCTGATCGCCAATAATTATCAACACATCTTGACTGCATGTTTGATCAATTTCAGACTGAAGAAGTTGACAGAATTCTACCATTTTATCATCACTGGCTTTAGTGGTTGGTGTGTACATTTGAATAATAGTGGTATTAACTGGTCTTCCTTGTAGGTGTATGGATATTATCCTATCACAGACAGCATTGTACTTTAAGACAGATATGTTTTTTTTTGATGATGAATGGACACCATTGCTCTTCAATTTGTCATTCTCAGTATAGTAAATCATGTGATTGTCAGATTCAAAATGGCCAGTACCAGTCCATTTCAGTTCAGTAATGCATACAACTTCTAATTTTCCTAGCTTCATACTTGTTACATCCCATGTTCTGATTATTAATGAATGTTTACAGCTGCTTGTCTTCAATTTGAGTTGTGCCTCAACAGCAAAGGAAGGTCCCTGAGGCTTTACTCCATTCATGTCATCACAGCAGCTCTTCCCGTTGTGTATCTAACACTCTCTGGTGCTCTTCACCATGTTTCCACGTTGATCATAAGGTTTTCAGTGACCAAATATTTCTCCTTCTTCCTAGTCTGTCTCTTTCTGGAAGCTTAGCTGAAACCTGTTCACTGTGGGTGACCCTGCTGGTATTTATGATACCTGTGGTGTAACGTCCAACATCACAGCAACATGCAAGCCACCACAGTTTGGCAAATGATAGAAAAGTGGTGGCATATGTCATCGTGAGAACTTATTTATTCTGAGTGTGCTAGGAAGCCACTGAAGACTTCTATTATCAGAAGATTAGTGCGAGGAAGGTTGGAAATAGCAAGCAAGTTGATAGTGCAGAAGTTCAGGTGATAGATGGTGTATCCTTATACCAGGGGGCAATAGGGGCAACAGGACAGAACCAAAGGATGACTTGAAGATTTTTGGTTTGAGCTGCTGTGTAAATTACTATTTCCTAAGACAGCAAAGGAGTCCTGGTGTGG